GTGAAACCCCGTCTCTACTAAAAATACAAAAAATTAGCTGGGCGAGGTGGCGGGCGCCTCTTAAGTCCCAGCTACTTGCGAGGCTGAGGCAGGAGAATGGTGTGAACCCGGGAGGTGGAGCTTGCAGTGAGCAGAGATTGCACCACTGCACTCCAGCCTGGGCGACAGAGTGAGACTCTATCTCAAAAAAAATGAGTAAATAAATAAATAAAAATAAAATAAAAAATAAAAAAATTAAAATGCTAATGTTAGGGAAATACAATTAAAACCGAAATCTCCCAACCCAGAAAATTGCTCCACAAAGGTAGAAAAGAAAGAAAATAATGTTATTATCGAATGAACATTAAATCAGACTACTGTGCACATCACAGGCAGTCACTAAAGGGATGGCAAAGACAGAAAGAAATCTTGCTGTTTTATATAACTAAATGGTTGCAATCCATTACATCCATATTTTCAAGATAAAATTGCTAATTTTTTTCACATTTTTATGACTAGAGGTAGGTTTTACACTTTGGAGTCAGGTGACAAATTAGGCCCATCTCCTCCTAGGAAACCAGGAGATTGAGTGTTATTTCCCTTGGTGATTACATTTCAGAGATGGCTTTCAGGTCCTTAGGAAACAGCCAAGTTAAAAGACTGGAGACTTAAATGTATATACATTGAAAGGGAGGGAGAAATAAATTCTGGAAGAGAAAAGGGGAAAGGGACCTCCTCCCTTTCCTTTGAATTAGCAGTATAAAATAAGTTGTTATTGTACTTGACATTCTACCTTTCTAATGTATGTATGGAATTGTCAATGGAAATAACTTGAATAACTTAGCAATAATTTTGTAATAGTTGAGTTACATTGAATTTTAAAGGATTATCAACTTAGTAATTTGATTATGGCATTTCTAGGAATGAGGTGAGTCTGAATTGGAAATCATCTCCAGAGGGTGACACAGGAGGACATGTTGGTGTGCCTGGTGTTTGCATCCTGCTAGGTGGCGGTATAGAATGAAATTAAAAATTAAATGAAGTCTGAGGTAGCCTTAGAAAATAGAACCTTGGCTGGTTGCAGTGGCTCACACCTGTAATCTGCAGTGTTCAGTACAGCATGTTACTGTATTGAGTACTGTAGGCAGTTGTAACACAGTGGTATTTGGGTAATCTTACGGTACTACAGCACTTTGGGAGGCCGAGGTGGGAGGATCACTTGAGCCCAGGAGTTTGAGACCAACCTGGGAAACATGGGATACCTAGCTCTACAAAATAGAAGAAGAAAAATGAAAACACAAGCACTGACATATTGGGAGGTAGGAAGATACACTCATATACAGCATGATACTGATTTATCATAGTGTTTAAGTATTTTTAAAGCCAAGTATTACTGAGGGAAAAGGTAATTTAATGCCAAGAGTTCTCTCTTCTGTCTAATTGAATTGTACTAACAAGTTTTTTTTCCTGTCTGTATTAGAACATAATATCCCAATTTTAAAGGGCAGTTCTTTTAGACATGCATTGTCTTATTGCCCAATAGATAAAGAATTTTATGAGGGATCTTAAAAAGTAGAACATTTCTTAAAGTTGGTTTTAAAAAATGAGTTGTCTCTTCTAAAATTTCTCTCTGATTGTTTTTAGGTTACCTAGGGTATGAATTAATACAGACTTGGAAACTCTGAAAGAACTTAGAATCAGCATTTTGAGGTAAATATGTATATGCTAAAGTAGTGATAAGGTTGCCCCAGTGGGCTTTGTTGACTTCTTAGCAAAACAAATTTGTGTATGAAATGAGAAATTTAACCTCCATGAGAATGTCTTTTAGAGGACTGGAAGTAGTAAAAAGAGGCCACTGCCGATTTGTTTTTCCTGAGCTTATGGTAGTGGAGGCATTGCAGAAGGCTCAGACCTGAGAGCAAACCAAGTCTGGTGTCAAATCTAACAAAATCAGTATTTGTTGATCAAATTAAACTTTTTATATCTACATTTTATGCTTTCTAGTTTTCGATTTATGTCTTTTAGAGAGCCACCCCAAATTTAAATTTCTCCCCAACATTAGCATTCTTAACAGTGTTCTTGAATTTTTTTATTCATAAATGAATTCTGTAAAAATGTATAGTGTAGATGTAACTGCTCTTCGAGTTTATATTTTTAATCTTGTTTTGGGAAATTGGAATTGCTGATGAATTTCATACCTGTGTTAAAGAGTTACTACTGGGTTATTTGAATTTCTCAGCCAAGTCCTCTTCTGGTGACCTTCTTTATTTCTTTTGTATATGTGAATTTAGGAAATAGCAGCTAGTTTTTTTCATTTTTCTATAAAGTACTATCTTTAGACTTTATTTATGAAGTCTTTTTTTTGAACTTTGCTCTAGCTTTGTATTTCTCCCAGATCTCTGGGAATTAGGCATGCTATTGTAGCTTATTCTCTTGTTCTTTGTTTTAGGGTAAGCCTTGGTATCCTAAAATAATCTAAATGCCTTTTGTTTAAAATTTAATTCAAAATAATGGCCTTTTATTCAACTCTTCATATCAATAGGGCTGTCTTGTAGATGTGTTTCTGTTCAGTTTACAGAAATCTTAAACTTGGCTATTTTTGCATTTATTTTTAGAGCAGAAGCTTGGGCATGCTGTGATTTTCCAATAAACTGCTATCACAATGTCAAAATGCAGTTCAGACAACAGCAACACAGAGATCTCAAACATTAAAACGGTAAATCTGTGATTCATCATGTGGAAAGAGGGAGAGAGTTTATTCTTGTCTTTCTTGTCTTTTGCTAAGTTACAGTCATGTATTGCTTAATGACTGGATATCTTCTGAGAAATGCATTGTTAGGTGATTTTGTCATTGTGTGAACATCATAGAGTGTACTTAATTAACATAAACCTACAGTATAGCCATTATACACCTAGGCTATATGGTATGACCTGTTTTTCCTAGGCTGCTAACCTATACAACGTGTTACTATATTGAGTACTGTAGGCACTTGTAACACAGTGGTATTTGTATATCTAAACATACCTAAGCATAGAAAAGGTACAGTAAAAATACAGTATCATAATCTTGTGGGACCACAGTCTTATACGGGGTCAGTCTCTAAAACATTGTTATTGGGTGCATGACTGTATTTCTAAGTGCATAATATGTGGAAACTGTGAAACAACCTCATTAGTTTCATGAGGGTAAGTTATTTGACCAGAAATTTAAAATTTGTAGTTGAAAAACAGTCATGTGGAGTTATTTTGGCTCTGCGAAAGCAGTTAATGGTAGCCAGTTTATCTGTGAAACTAGAACCTTTACCTGCCAGCAGGGATTCAGATCTTTTCATTAAGGCCAAGTTTAAAAAATCTGTTTAAACTTGCCAAGAAAGTAAAAATTGGCAACATGATAGGTTTTCCTGTTTTTATATTACAGATTACCTATTGGATTTTTTAGTCTTGGATTTGTTTTCCCTAAATAGAAAGGGCGTTACTGGGGCCAGTTATTGTCCACTAAATGAATGAAAATTAATTTAAACATTGTAACCTTATGGAAAATGTAATTGGAAGGGTTAAATTGTTGTTCTTTATGTCCTTGTACATCCTCTCTCCTGCACTCATCTCTCAGGGCTGGTCGGAGTGGGATAGATGTGTGTTTCCAAACCGAATAGAAATATATCTTGATTCTGTTCTGTATATTGTTTTGTGGACATTCATGAGTCTCTAATTCAGTTTGTCAAATATTTACTTAAATGTATATACAAAATATTGTAGCAGGAAATTTAAGAGGTGCAAAGAATAATACTCACGTCTTGTTCTTATGGAGCTGTGCTCCAGTAAAAGAATAATGTGTATGTTGTGTATGTGTGTCTGTGAATAGATGTAAAAATCTGTGATAGAAATTATGAAAGGCAAATAGAAGCTGTTTGAGGTTTTAGTGTCACTCAGGTGGACATTGTTTTCATTCTAACAACCTGCAGTTTTGTTTACCATGTCCTGGATGTGGTTCTGTACAGTGGGTAATACAGGTAAGGGTAAGATATGCAACTCCTGTATCCAAGGAAATTCTAGTCTAATTGGTTATATTTTAGTGAGAAAAGAGTTAAGAGAAATTATCTAAATAAGAATTCATATAAAATTACAGAAGTACATTTTATGGATTAAGACTATACCCCAAGCCTCTGTAATATAACTGCTAGGATCACTTGGATTGAGCACATAGGATTGAAATACAGGATTAAACACTTACAGTTGGTCAGTCAGGGAGGATGCATAATATGCTGTAGGCTTTCAGCCAACAGGGATTACTCTTCTGTTGTGGAAGTTGCTGGTGAATGGTGGTGAGGCAGCAGTAGGATAGCATTCTAAGCCCGGTCAACAATCTGAACGTAAGGTTACAGGTGGCAGAGGTCAGGCAGTCATGAGTAGGGGACGGCACTTTTCAGAGTGCATTTGAGACTAGATATCACAGAGAGTAGTGCTTTGCTTAATTTCGTTTTTAAATATCAACTTTTTAATGAATTCCCTTCCAATAGTTTGTATTATTTTCTTACACATGGTTTTTTGTGAAAACTGATAGAAACCTTACTCTTTTCAGATATTTTTGGTTGCAGATGTTATTTCTGTATTTCTTTATTGTTTGATATTTATTTTTACCATGTAAGGTATCTATTTTCTCTTTACTTAGAGTCTAAATAATGATAAATGTATACCTTTCATTTCTCTGATTTTTTTTCACTTTTATTCTCAGATTGATTCTTAGAAACCAGCTACCTATCATTTTTTCTAAACCCTGTGAAAGTTGTGGGGTGGGGTGGGGCATTTATGAGAAATGTTGTGTTTGCTAAGAAAAAAAAAAATCTCTGTCTTTTGAAATGCCAGGAACAGAGCCTGGACACTGAGTGAATTTGCAGCTTCTCCTTTGCCAAGCTCTTTACCTGCTGGTTTGTAGAAATAGGATTGACATACTTGAGTGAAGTTGGTGTCTTGAGGTGAAACCAGGCATGAGGAACCTTGGAGGTCCAGGGCTTATTTTCCAGATAGAATTTGTTGGTCTTGGGCCAGCTTCCCTGCCCTGCCTGTTTTCTTCTTTGTGGTTTTATGAAAGCGAAGGAGGAAACAGGCAGGCCAGGGAAGCGCTCTCTACCTCCCTCGCTGTCTTGTGCAGAGGGAGAACTGTTCAGATTTTTCCTCAATTTGTTTCTGAAACAAGCAGCTTTGCAGTTTCAAAAATAATTTACTGATAGCAGAAAGTGAAAAAAATACTCCTAAGGACAAGTAAGGTGAAAATTTTCAAAGTCTTAGAAGCTTTTTGGTAGAGCTCATCCCTGGTTTCTTGGTGTCTAAAGACCCTTGACTTTTACCTTACAAACAAAGCTTTTGACCTTGCTTGGGATCTGGCTGCAGTACTTGTTCATTATCTCAATATTTGTGGCCTGATGGCTTTCTGCTTTGGTCCCTGACTTTTTCCCTTTCCCTTTTCCTTCCCTTTCCCTTCCCCTTTTCCTTCCCCTTCTCCATTCCCTTCCCCTTTTTCTTTCCCTTTCCCCTTTCCTTCCCCATCCACATTCCCTTCTGCTTCTTCTTTCCCTTTCCCCTTTCCTTCCCCCTTTCCTTCCCCATCCCCATTCTCTTCCCCTTTTTCTTTACCTTTCTGCTTCCGCTTTTTCCTTCCCCTTCCCCATTTCCTTCCCCTTTTTCTTTTCCCTTTCCCTTCCCCTTCCCATTTTCCTTTTTCTTTCCCCTTTCCCTTCACCTTCTTCCACTTTCCTTTCCCCTTCCCCTTCCTCTTTCCCTTTTCTTTCCTTTTCTCCTTTCCCTTCCTTTCCCTTTTTCCTTCCTTCCTTCTTCTTTCCCTTCTTTCCTTTTTTTCTTTCTGTTCATATCTGTTCTTTGCTTTCCTCTTCTTTTTTCTACCTATACCTTTTATAGGAAGTGATAATAGTGATTTAGAGAGTGTCATTTGGTTTGCTTTTATCCCAGAATATTCAACTCAAGCTAGCTTGGACAGTTAAGGAATTTGTTGGCTCAGTTAATTGGAAAGTCCCTTGTTAGGCTGGGCTTTGAGATTGGTTGATCCAGCAGTTTATTGATGTCATCAGTGACCCAGGTTCTTTATTTTTGCCGTCTGCAGTACTGGTTTCATCCTAAGGCTGGGTGTTTTCATGGGTCTGCGTAGTGTAATTGCAGCAGCAAATGGGGCTAATAATTTCATGAGTCATCTTTAGAGGGAAAGAAAGACAACTGCTTCTCTTCAACTATCAAATGAAAGTTCTAAATTTTTTGCTGTTGGATGAGCATGAACCAATTCCTCTGGCCAAGAGTAAGTTGTGTGCCCATCAGCTTAGGTTTGGGTGACTGGCAGATGGCAGAAAATAAGAAACTAGAGACTAGGCAGCATAGCGAGACCCTGTCTCTACAAAAAATTAAAAAATTAGCCAGTTGTGGTGATGCACACCTGTGGTCCCTGCTACTTGTGAGGTTGAAGCTGCAGTGAACCATCGTTGCACCTCTGTACTCAGCCTGAGTGATGAGTGAGTCTCAGTCTTGGTGAAAAAAAAAAAAGAAAAAAAGAAACTGGATCCTTGAAGACTTCAGTGAGCCACTGTTTGATTGAGACCAAGCAGAGTTGAGCATGGCTATTACCTGTAGAGGAAATGGAGTATTTCCTCTAATCACCTGTCCTTGTGCTTTTGAATACATAAAGGAATGAAGTATTTATTTATATTTGAGCAGAAAATGAAAAAGATTTATATTGGAAGAATAGGACAAAAATATGTACTGTACCGATTTTACCCCCTTGCTTTATCAGCTCTGTGTGTGTGTGTGCGCACGTGTGTGTGTATCTACATGTAGATTCTTTTCTGTACCATTTGAGAATAAGTTACATGTATCATAGGTCTTTACCCCTAAGTACTTCAGTGTATGTTTCCTAACAATAAGGGTATTGTCTTACATAGCCACAGTGAGTTATATCAACTTCAGGGAATTTTAACATTGCTGTTACCTCATTTTAAAAATGGATTCAATAATGTCCTTTATGAATGAGATCACTATTTATGTTCTTTGCAACATTATTCATAATAGCCAAAATATTGAAACAATATAAGTGTCCATCCACAGATGAATGGGTAAAGAAATTGGAATATACAAACACACATGGAGGAATATTATTCAGCGCTAAAAAGAAGGAAATCCTGCCATCTGCAATAATGCAGATGAACCTGGAGGACATAATACTAAGGATAATAAGCCAGGCACAGAAAACCAGATACTGCATGATGTCACATGGGAATTGACAAAAGTAGAATTCTTACAAACAGAGTAAAAGAGAAGAGGTAGAATATGGGGAAAATGGGTAGATGTTGGTGAAAGGGTACAGAGTTTCAGTTACATGGAATGAGTAAGTTCTAGAGATCCAGCATACAGCATGGGATCCATAGTGGATAACAGTGTATGGAATACTTGAATTTGCTGAGAGAATAGATCTGAATAATTCTCACTACACCAAAAAATTGTAGCTATGTGAAGAGATGGATATGTTAGTTAGCTTGACTATAGTTTACTGCATATATGTGTGTCAAAACATCACAACAGTATACCTCCAATATTTTCCGTTTTCCATTTCTGGCGTTTTTCTCCTTCAGATAGGATCCAGTCTAAGTTCAGGTATTACATGTAGTTGTCATGTTTCTTTATAGTCTCTTTGTCTTTTAGATTCAGAGGGTATGTGTGTGTTTTTTTATTACACGGGTATATTGCATACTGGTAGGAATTGGACTTCTAGTGTACACGTTACCCAAATAGTGAACATTGTACCCAATGGATAGTTTTTCAGCCGTGTGCCCCTTTATCACCTTCCTCCCTTTGGAGTTCCCGCTGTCTGTTATTTCCATCTTTATGTCCATGTGTATCCATATAGTCTTGTTAATCTGGAACATTTTCGTAGTTTTTCTTTGTATTTTATGGCATTGATGTTTTTGAAGAATACCCTCCCCAGCTTTAAAACATAAAACATTCCTAATTTATTTTTAGACTATTTTTCTACAGTTATTTATTGTTATTACTAATGTTATCTATATGAGAAGAAATGGTGACAGTTGTAGGGAGGAGGGAGTGCTGCCGGTTCCTGGACATACTTGGTTTGTGGAAGTAGGAGAAGATGTGTTGGGTATTTACATCACGGCCCTCTTTTCTCCTTTGTTTTATATTTTCATCCACCATCAGGACTTAGACTTGTTTCTTGGTACCTTTTACTGTGTCTTTAATAAGTCTAGGATTAGCATTTGGGTTGGGTGAAAGTGAAGGGTCAGGTTTAAAGTCCTAGACAGTATGCAGTCTGTAGTCATGAAGGAGAATTGTAGAGGTATCACGAGAGTGGATTCCAGGTGGGAAGGTCAGTGATGGGACCCGCAGGTCTTAGCCTTGGGCCTTCAGAGTGGCCTCTTGATCTCAGACATTTTTGTAAAATAGACTTCCATATAGGGTTCTTGGCAGTTGTATTAAGAAAAAAGTTTAACTGATGAGCCTGCAAGTCCTGAGTTCTTGCTGAATTTGGGAAAGTGGGTACTAGGCTTGGGTACTAGGGTGAAAGAAATGGCTCTTGGGGCTTTGATTCAGCAGAGATTTAGCAGATTATTTTTCATGAAGAACATAGTTCTCTTTGATCCAGGGAAATTATGGGTTAATATTATCTCATAAAGTACTCTGTGGTGCTTTGCTTGTTCCCTTCTGGAAAGATGATGAGCATGATTGTGCTGTTAGGCCCACAGATGTGCTGTCTTACTGGGCTCTCAGCTCCTGCAGTGGGGTGCCCCTGCACTGCTTACTTGAGATAATACTTTATGGTCGCTGAATGTTGAATTCTTGTCAACAGAACTAATTTCTCAAATTAGAATTCAGTATTGTGCTTCTGTATAAGAGACCCCACACTTGAGACTTCTTGTTGAAATAGTTGCAACAACTTAAGTTGTGTGTTCTACTTAACACGTCCGGAGATTCAAAAGTTTTGGTTGTTAAGTAACAAAGAACTGAATTCTCTCTTCCAGTTTCATAGAGTAATAGCAATGAACACTCCAAAGCAGTGCAAGAGAGGAAATTTCCTTCTGTGGGGCGAGGAAGTCCTGCTGACAGTAAAGCCAGTGGTAGGCTTTCACACAGATATTTGAATCCCTGACCCTCTGTTTGAAGGTTAGGAATTTTAAAGATTCAGTTTTTATCATTTTACATAGTCAAATTTATCTGTGGGAAAAACTATATGAAATATAGAAAATGCTTAGATACCATGAAAAAATTTTTATTTCACAGAGTGGTGTCATTTGTTTTAATTTATCTAGGATATGTATAATTTTAAAGATATATATTTAAATAGTTGGTCAGTTGTTCATTTATAATAGGTTGTCAATTGAGAAAAAGGCCTTCTGTGTTCATGGGCTATTGATAAAGTGACAATTTAGCAGGTGTCTAAATCTTTCCTCATGCAGGCACGTGCTAAGTGCCTTCCATACATTATCATTTTATCAATAACGTCATAGAATATACAAAAATGTTCAAAATATATTTATATATTTACATATTTTATATATGTACATGTATTTAACAAGGCATCATACTTTACATATTTTAAAGGTTTATAATGGACATTGTTCTATGTCAGGAAATATAGATATGTGTTATAATTTTAATGGATTCAAAGTATTCAATTATAGAGTCATACCATAATTTATGTAGCTTATTTTTTACTAGTAGATTTTAAAGTTATTTCTTATTTTTAAGTAATAATGCAACAACAAATATTCATGTCCATCTCTTTGTGCAGTTGCCTGATTCATTCTTTAAGACAAGTTTCTAGATGTAGAATCACTGGGTAAGGTACAGAATGCTTGACTCCTAAAATGATCCTCTTAGATCAAGAAAAAGTTAAAACAATTATAGGAAGAATTTGAATGACTCGTAGGAATGATATTCTGATGTTTCCCTTGTTTCTGTGCTTTCTTTTGTTTTTAACCCTGCATGGTTGTGTAATGGTATTCTTTTTCCCTTTTGTAGTAAGCTGTGCTAGAACAAAAATGCAATGAAAGAAACACTGGATGAATGAAAAGCCCTGCTTTGCAACCCCTCAGCATGGCAGGCCTGCAGCTCATGACCCCTGC